CTAAAATAGTCTGTTTTGTCTTTTGTGACTATTTTAGCCCCAACCCAACTTGCCAAACACCACCAATACCCCCATTTTCAGGATTTTGTGGAGATTTCCGAGAGGCAGCTATGGTGTGTTTGGGCGGAGAATTTATGGAGGGATTTGAAAAGGGGAAGAGAAAGGGTATGTGAAATTAGGTGAAATGTAAGTATATTTTATTTATATTTCACCTAACTTTTTTTTTTCTTTTCAAATTCCTACTCAAATCCTCCAACCAAACATAGCGCTAGTGATTTCCATGAGGCAGTTCGTGATTTTCAAGAAGTTCTAACATCTATAAATACAAGAATTGATGATGGGGCAAACTCCAATCAATCTAACACTCAACACAACTTAGTACATAGTCCATGACTATTTATCTCTAGTTTAGGTTTAGTTCAACTTAGAAGTAAACTTGAAAGACATCTTTATCATAGATTTTAACTTTAGTTCATGACATTCATGTCAAATTAATGATTTTTTTAGCTTTTTTAAACATTGTTTTGGAAAATAAATTGTGTTTCAATTTCATTTTGTAACTCAATTTCATGTGTTTCAAACTTATTTTCATGCTTTTATTTGTTCAATCCGTTGAATTTATGAATGTATATTTTTCTGGTGCTTGTTTCTATTCATTCATATCTCTTTTTGACATTAAAAACTCCATGAAGATTTTAAATCCTCTTAGTTGCGACAAAACAAGAATCAAGAGGTCTTTTATCCCTTTGAGCCTCACACAATCTTCTATTTTAGAGGTCTAATTTTTTCTAATACATTTTCACAACTAAAGCACTGTTACCTTAGCATGCCCGCAAATCACCAAAATCTCTTCATTTTAGTCAAAACTTATATTTTAGTCAAAAAGTATATTTTTATATTTTTTACATGAACAATTTCAGGCTTATGAGTTTTTTAATAAAATATTATTATCACATCATTTTAGTATAATTTTTTATGTATAATTTCAAAAGAATAAGTCTTTTTGATTAGTGAAATATAGACATGAGAGGGAAAGAAAGATATATACATATATATATATATATATATAAATAAATAAATAGAGCGGAGCGGAAGATAATACAATCGATCAAAGTCCACTTCAATTAAAAATAATAATTCATTAAATAAATTTGTGGTGATATAGCCTCCACTAATCTTGCCGGTGAGTGGGGCATGATTATATTTCTAGAAGTTTAATTGGTTAATTTAATTGGGCTGTTTCATACCTCTTTTGGTTTTCTTCTCTTTTCCATCCAACCAACCAGAAACTTCAACATTCATTTGGGTTGTTTTTAAATCATTTATCAACCCATATAACTTTCAAAAATAATATCATATTATCATTATTTTAATCAAGGGATTGCTTGTGACAATATCTAAAACATTTTCTATATAATGTTTTTTTTTTTTTTTTGGAACAGTTTGTCTTATGGGGCTGTAGTATGAGAAGTGGCATCCTTCTGTTGTCAAGAAAATGCAACCTCATTGTATATGACACCTCTGAAAGGTGGGTAGAAAATGTAGAATGACTAAGAATCTGTTTATTATAAAAAAATAAAATAAAAATAATTAAATAATTAAAATATTAAAAAAAAACCTCACCAAAAATATCAAAAAACAAAAATTTAAAAATAATTTTCAAAAACTAAACTAAACAAAAGATAAAAGAGTGTTTGGATTAATTATTTTGGATCACAAAATATAAAATAAACCTAACACAAAATAATTTTATTTTGAGATAATATTATTTAATTCGAATGGTAATGCAGGGAAGGATATGACTTCCCCCAAAAGAAGATTTTGTTTGGAAATATTGATTTTTAGTTAAAAAGACATTACACGTTTTTATTAAAAAAAACAAAATTCACGTATTTTTAAAATATATTAAAAAATTACTAAAAAAAATCAATTCTTGAACACTCCCTAAATGAAATAGCAACTTTATATCAAATCCTAAATTGAATGTGTGTGTGTGTGTTTTTTTTTTTTAAATAAAAATAATAATTGTTTACTTCCGACGGTTAATTAAAAATCGTCTAAATAGTACATATTAACGCGTATTTAGGAGGATAAAAATTAAGTACACACACTTAATCTTTGACATAGTATACAAAGTGATTGTCCTAATGGTTAATTACAATTTACTTCCAACGGTTAATTACTTAACAAAATTGGCAAAAACCATTTTCATATAGTACCAGTTCGCCTGGTATATGGGGTGGCTGCTGTGCCTCCCTGTGCAGCCAAATTGACCTATTTTGAGATCCATTACGATAATTCGAACCGTTCACATTTTAGAATACATCAAGTAGAATATACCTGCAAAAAGTTAAATTAATCGGATATTATTTACCTATTCATCCACTCACATTTGTATCTACAAAAATAAATAATAATTGTGATTTAAAGTATTAAAATGAATATAAATGTGAGTGGATGAAATGGTTAACGATATCCGATTAACTTGATTTTTTACAGGTATATTCTACTTGATGTATTCCAAAATGTGAATAGTTCGGATTATCGAAATGAGCCCATTTGACTATACAGCAATGGTTGTTGTGCACCCAATATAGCAGTGACCCCAAGTCCCTCAGGTGGTTGAAGTTTTAGAAAAGACATGTTAATCACTTAAACGACTATATTTAGATTATAAATTTTGATAAGGAATTGAAAAGAAAAAAAAAAATGATGAAATGTCACAAACTCCTACTCACCCTTTTTTTTTTCCCTTCAAAATTCTACTTAAATTCATAATTTAATTACAACTTAAATGAAATTGTATGATTATTTACCAGCAAACAGGTAAACAATTATCTTTCAACTGTACCAATATATAAATTTTTCACTAAATGAGAAGTAAATATGCGAGACAAAGGGGTGAGTCACTTCCATTCCATTAATCTTTTGATTCCTTTCTGCAACAAACACAAATCGGAAGCCAACTTTCACATTGGAGGGGATTCTATTTACACCAAAAAAAAAATAATAATAATAATAATAAATAAAATAATAACAATAATAATAATTTATTATTAAATATTTTTAATATTTTAATACATTATGTTTAATTATTTAAAATTTTATAAAATGTTGATATTAGCATCTCATCAATTATTTTAGACTCTCCAATTTTTAACTTTATTTATTTATTTATTATAATAATAATTTCAAATGAAATTATTAAAAAAGGATATTAATAATTTTGAGACACCCCATCTCACAATTAAGCTCATACACCCCACTACATCATGAGTTAGGGTTTATGACAACACCCTCTTCTATCGCCACCCATCCATTTTTCCCAAATTTCACATTCAAAATCTACACACCTTCAAAACCTTGAAAACCCTTTAGCAATAATATTCCGGCGGTGACGATAATAACCATTTGATTACCCACACTTCTCCGACAATTACAATGAGCGGAAGTTTTTCTAGTAATCACATTTTTATGAGATGAGAAGAGTACAATAATAAAAACTCAAAAGAGATTCATGGTTTTGATAGTGTTTTTAGCTCAGAATAGATTGGCATTGTAAGGGTAAATTTTTTGGGAAAAAAAATGACAAAAATAATAAAAACTATTCGTCATTTTTTGAAAAATGAACTCCCGAACATATGACCAAAATTCGGGAACACAGGTTCGAACATTATTTATTTGTTTAGGAACAAATAATTGAACATTTCTTATTTGTTCAGGAAGAAATAACTGAAACTCGTGAAGATTGCAGAACCCAAAAAAAAAAAAAAAACCTATGTTTGTTTTCTCAAGTCATGAACAAGTATGTAGAAAATAGTAATCACTTTTTTGGGTTTTGGAGAGTGGTTTTTTTGGAGTGTAAAGGTATGCATTCAATTGAATGGATAGAATATTTTCACAAGGATAATTTTGGTATTGTTTAGGGAGAGAAAAGAAATTTTAAAGATTTTAAAATTTATAAGTGAAGTCCAAAGAAATAGAGGGTCCAAAATAACTAATGAAGTATTATAGCAACACTCATTTTATATTACTCTCAGTACAATCTATAATTTTTCTTAAAAGAAGATACACTCAAATAAAAACAAAGTTGTCATGTTTGGACTTACAATGCTAAACAATATTGTTTGGTCCGGACTTTGAAATACGAAAATGTTGACTTTGCTTGGCAAATGTACTATCGAACAAAATGAATTTGTTCTAATATGAAAATTCGAACAACAATGACATTAAGCTGATTGAATATTATTTTTATGTTAAAAAACAAAAATTATACCTTAATATTTATATGAATACTTATCGCCTCTTTTATAGGTTGTTTTAAAAAACGATTTTCATTATTATTTTCGTCCATTGTTTAATTTTATTCAAACTTTATACTATTCGCAAGGATAAGAAACAATGATATTAATGATAATGACAAGTTCTGATGAAATTGTTTGAAATTTTGTAGTGAGAAAGAAAAAGAAGAGAACAATTAAAACTTTAAAAAAAATAAAAAATACATATACGTGATTAAAATGTAACATTAAAAAAATAATATTTTATTTAAATTTTAATATCTACTGTCCTTATTAATAAATTTACATTAAAATATAATAATAGTTAAAATTTTAAATAGACGTACTTAATAATTTTGTTTTTGGTGTAAATAGAATCCCCCACATTACAACAATCAAACTAAGGCCTCGTTTGACAATTGGCTTTTTTAATCAAAAAGTCAAAAAATTACTAAAAAAATCAAAACGCCAACAACTCATACCAAAAAGTCAAAAAGATTCTCTTTTCTCTTTATTTTTTGCACATCTTTTCATAAAAAGTCAAAAAATTATCTCAAACATATCAACCTTTTTAACATCACATTTTAATTAAAAAGTCAAAAAATTACTAAAAAAAACTGTTCCCAAACGAGACCTAACTAGAAAACAGGCCTAAAGGTAAACTTGGTTCAAACTGTAGCTACAAATAACAAAAAATCAACCACTGAAAGAGTGACTATAAAATACAAAGATACCTGCACTGCATCAAAGTAGCTGGTGGGGATCGTCAAAGATAGTATCCACGATCATACAGCTAACAATATTGATTAACAATTGAACTTCTTCATTACAAATTGCACAGACGACTTTTTATCTTTTGATTTTCTTCTGCACCAAACACATGAGGGGGGATTCTAACCAACTGATCGGAGTTTGTGTTACAATATGACTGAAACAGAAAAATACAAGATACCTGCACCCACAATTTGAATTACATATCAACACAATTCTCATCAACATTTGAGGATTAGTTCGTGTTTGTCTAAGTAAATTAACAATACAACTTTAACTGGGCGCTTCGGTAAACGTTGCCTGCATGACCCATCATCTGGGGATCTGCATGGAGAATAAGAAAATGTTATCCAGTATAATACATAGCATGATAGAAAAATTTAATATAGAAAAGTTTAGCAGAACATGATATGATGTGAAAAGATTTCAGGCTATGTTTGGTACGCAATAATGGAATGAGATGACAACAAAATGAGAGTGGGAATGGAATTGAATACTCGTTCCTATTCCACTATTTGGTTCACGTGACAAAGAATAACAATTCTCACTCCCATGTTTAGTGTTCAGACTGGGATGAAAATTCTTCTGGTTCACATGACAAAGAATAACTATTCTCATTCCCATGCATATTTACACATTCAGACTGGGATGAAAATTCTAAACAAAACTAGCACTACATAAAAATATTAAATAAACTGATATATATAAATACACATAAATATATTATGTATTATATTTCTAAATATTGAAGATACAACATATAATCTATAGGGTAGCACTAATGCCACAACTGAAAAAAACAGTTCCACGCACATTATTGTAAACTCCTGTATTTACCCTTTGTCAAGTGGCCAACCCTTTTTTATCCACTCTCTGCGGCTCCAGATCTCACCAGTTCCTCTGTTCTTCCTTTCTTTTTTAATTTATTTTTCTGAGACTCTTCTTTTTCTTTCTCTACTTCACTTTCAACATGTACTCCACACTCAGTTTTTCTTCTCACAACACAATCAAATTTCCTTCACTGTGGTCAACCCTACTCACAACCTGTAGAAAGTGAATTTAAGGGTAAATTACACTTTGCCCCTTTTATGTTTAGCCATTTTCTCATTTTGGCCCTTAAAGTTTATTTTTTCCCCACTTTGACACTTTATGTTTCAAGTTTTTTCAATTTACTTTAAAAGCTAATTTGTGTCCAAAATTAGACAAAAAATGACACATTAACAACTACATAGCATAAAAATATTATTATATTTAACTTATACCTCTGACACAAACCCAATCCTCAATATGGTAACATGTTTTTTATGTTATGTGGCAGATAACGTGACATTTTCTATCTAATTTTGAATAGAACTCAGCTCTAGGAGTAAATTGGGAAAAAAATAAAACATGAAAAGCCAAAGTTAAAAAAAAAAAATAAAAAAATAAAAACAAACTTTAAGGGCTAAAATGAGAAAATGATCATACATAAAGGGGGCAAAGTGTAATTTATCCATATTTTAAATAAGAAGAGAACGTTGATGCATCATTGTCAATACAAATGAGGTTCGCCATCACTGGTGTTGAGACCAAAGGTGCCACCATTGTCCGATCCACAAAAGTGGGTGGGTGAAAGTGTGTATTCTTGTATTGAAGAAAGTAGGATAGTGGTTGCTGATTATGCGGAGTGCGTGACAGATAAAAAGGGAAAGATCAGGTTTTGTTAGCAGAAGGGGCATCGCTGTGAGGGAGGGAGGGAGGGAGGGAGGGAGGGAGGCAGATAGTCGGTGAGAGAAAATGGGGAAAGCAATAGACAGATCGGGTGAGAGGGGATAAACTGGAGGAGGGGGGCTGGACAAAACAGTGAAGGTAGCCAGTCTGCGATGGACAAAGGAAGACAAAGAGATCAGGGAAGGTGGTAGATCGATAAAGGGAGAGGTTGCCTGAATCTGGTGTAATATTTATCAATTTTTTCCCCTTCAAATTCAACAATGGCGGATAGATAGAGAGAGAGAAAGTGGGCAGGGAAAGAAAGAGAAGATGGGAAAGGATGAGAAAGAGTGGCCACATAAATGTGCTGCAAAGGGTAAATATGGTAATTCATCTTATGCGTACGGATTCAACTGATTCAGTCAACGCATTAACTTCCCCTAAGTTATATTTATATATGATATATTCCCTCTAGCATTGGTCATTACACAACGGAATAGAATAACCATTCCCCTCCCTTTTGGTGTGAAATGGTAATTCTAACAAATTGTGAGAACGGACATTCCAATGGAATGATTTTTCCAACCTTCAACTATACCAAATGTGGGAAAGTGAATGAGAGGCTGAAATGAGTATTTCAAAAACTATTCATACAAAATGTACCCTAAATACTTCTCAGGGGAAAAAAAAAGTGTAATGGTTTTAATAATTATCTTCCCCTAAGACAGAAGAAGTATAAAATTTTGCTCCGTTTTAATTTAACTGATGACCAAACAATGAATAAGTTATGTCAAAATCTCAAAATAGCGGTATGACACGCTGGCCTCTCTCATTATAAAAATCTTCCTAGAACAAGTCTAACTTCAATCCTACGCAGCAATGGAGATGATAGTGATTGCCTCCTACTCTCTCTTTCAATTTATATTTCTTCTACTCTGTTTTTCAACATCTATTTCACTTGAAGTTGAGGGTCAATGATAGACAACATCCCATGTTTTCTGTACGTGTTTCAAACACAATGCATATAAGTACTCAAATCCAAAACCTCAAAGCAATTTGGATTTACCCTGAATCAACTAATTAATGACTTCAATGCATTTGAATGACAGGAAATCCTCCTAAATCAACCTTACATCATACTGATAGCGACACAAAAGAATATGGGTCACATAATTAAGGCCCTTTGACCTCTTGTGCACTTTTGGGTGTCACCACATAGTGCCATCACATGCTCAACCTAGCCGCAAAATCATATGAGTTAAGTGAGCTACAATTAAGAATGTGGACTGCATTTGTAACTGGACTTTGTAATTGTTTGCCATATTTATCGACTGATACAGAATATGTGTTTGTTTTAAGCCTATGGATACCACGTAAAAACAAAAAGATTAAATAAAAAAACAAAGTTCAAATCTCAATCTAATAAATTTGGTAGTGAATAACAGAAAGATTTAAAAGACATAAAGGAGATTCACCTAATGTGAAAGGCATGTAAGGAAAAAACCTCATTTCCTCCTTTAAGCGCCTTTTTTGTTTTTCAATTTCTTCACTAAATGCAACTGGTAAGACAAAATTCCTTACCACTTAAAAAAAGTACACCATTCACTGAAAAGCATTTGGAAATTTCATTTAGAAAACATTAATTTTCACATGTCACGAAACAAGTTTATTGGAATATAGTTAAGAATCTTAAGATTGATTTGAAGTTTTTTCAATGATACTAACTTAGCACTTCAATTTTGAATGCAATTTTTATTGTCATCAAAGAGGTTTGAGTCTGAGGCATGAACAAAATTAGAAACCTCAACCCACCCTCACCCCCATCCCCACCCCCTTTCATTCCTTGCATTGACACTAATGCTTCCAGGTAGACCTTCCCACAAAATTGCTGCTCAGTTGCACATCACTGGACTCGTGGACCAGAGATCTAAGAGGCACAAAACATAATGATGCATTAGAACTTCCTATAAAGGACATTTCGTTCCAAGAAATTTCGTCACTGTAATACTACATTAACCAAAGGATGGAATTTTTTAGTTGTAAATGTTTTTATACAAATTATGGATTACAATATAGTTACCAGTTTTCTAGAGGACACGGACCAATACACACGGGAGAGTCTATCTTCTCATTTATTTTGAGAATTTGTTCTTAAACATGGCATCCATCATTATCAGAAACGAGATGTGGTTCGATTTTACCCTTAATAATAAAAAATAACACAACATTTTATATGCCGCAACAATGATACCAACAGATTGACAAGCATCCAGAAATCAATGACTAGTACAAGTACAAAAATCAACTCAAACAGTTGAAAATTTATCCCATATATAGCTCAAGCATTCCAAATTGTTGCTACTTTGTAAATCTCAATAACAGTGCATCCGAATTCAAGAATGAATGAACATCGCAGAATATAAAACCTAACAAGAAAACAATGTTCCCATACCTCAAACTTTCAGAAGCTGCATTTTGTTTGAAAAGGCAACTGCAATCCAATCAGGCAGCGCCGCTGACCACTGAAGCTGGTTAATCTCAGCCCCAGCAGAGTACATAGACATTGGGTCAATTCCATTGGGTCCAGCAACAGTCGGCAACTCCCAAATAAGCGCTTGTGAATCGTCCCCAGCAGAGCAAATATGGCGATGACTCTGGGGAGCCCAAGCGATGGCATTCACACTCGCCCGGTGTCTCTCCAGCTCTGCAACCGGCATTGTTGGCGATCGAATATCCAAGATCACAACTTTATTACAGTCCATCAAAATTGTGGCCATGTACCTCAAATCCTGCTTGTTCCAAGCCAATCTAAGCAAAGGAGTGTCCGGTTGAGGACTCTCGTATATAATGGTAGAGTGTTCCTTATCTCTCAAATCGAAAATCCTGACAGAGCCATCAGCAGAAACCGAAGCAAACACCCCAGCTTCGCCCCAAGCGATGTCGTAAACCTCTTTATCGTGGGCAATCAACTGGGTTTCAACAACCCCTCTCTCAACATCCCAAATGGTACAAGTAGTGTCGATGCTAGAAGTCCCAATTCTGCGAGTATCGACCTCGTTCCAATCAAATGAAGTGAGGGGGGCACAGAACTCGCTGGTCTTGCTGTTGTTGAGGATAGAAATGGATTCGATGGAGTTGTCGCGGACTTCCCAGAGGCGGAGATAGTCGCCAGAGGAGGCGAGGAGGTCGGAGGATTTGCGGAGGGAGGCAGAGGGGTTGGGGTGGAACATGAGCTTGGTGGGAGGGTAAGGGTGTTCGAAGGAGAGATTGGGGTTGGTTTTCATGGTTAGGGTTTCTTCATCGAAAGAGACGATGTCGACACGGTTGTTGTATTCCTCTATGAAGCTGCCGACGGCGATGCGGTGGTGATGGGGCGGCGATCGGGCGGAGGAAGAGAAGGCCATGGCGTAGAGAGGGTACGGGGAGTCGTAGGTCACGGAGTTTTCGGATCTGAGGTGGGAATCTTGGCTCGAATTCTCCATTGTTGATTCCACGAGGTGTGGGGTGGAGAGATTGAGAGTAAATTAGGGTATGAGATTAGGGTTTTGGTTTGTGAATTGAACACAGAGAGAGAGAGAGAGAGAGAGAGAGAGAGAGCGAGAGAGAGTTTCCCGGTATGAGCAAGGAATGAGGAGTATTCCAATTATGGATTGGGCATCGGCAGTCGTATGCTAAACTTTCCAACTAATTTTCTTGGTAGTGAGGAAGTATGAGAAAGTGAGAAAAGACAATTCAAAGATGGCATACCAACCAATGAGCAAGGATTCCTCCTTGCATCATTTCCTATTTACAGGATTATTAGGTCACTTTAGGCTCAGTTTTAATAATTCCAACGGTTATATTTTAAGATTAATTTAGTATATTACATTTATAAAAAATTAAATTAATCGAATACGTGTATAGAAAAATTCTACGTACATTTGTATTCATTTTAATACTTTAAATTACAACTATTATTTATTTTTGTAAATATAAATGTGAGTGGATGAATGGGTAAACGATATCCGATTAACTTAATTTTTTGCAGTCATGTTCTAATTGATATATTCTAAAATGTGAATAGTTCAGATTATTAAAATGGATCCCAAAATGAGATCGGTTAATTTTGAAAAAAAAAATTATAAATTAATAAAAAATTTATAAATATTAATATTTAAAATTATTATTTTTATAAATACATCTACAAATTATGTAAGAATTATATGATCATTTTTAAACGTTAAAAATCGCATATGACCCAAATTATAAAACTCAAATTATAAAGATTAAGGCCAAGTTTGGGTAGTTTAAAAAAAGTTAAAAAAGTCAAAAAGTTACTCAAAAAGTTAAAAAGTCATCACTATTCACCAAAAGTCAACAATTACGGCTGCACAATTTCCAATTCTAATTTTCTCCTACAAACTAATTTTTACAATTTTTTATTACACATTTTTCCATAAAAAGTCAAAAAGTTAACCCAAACATTCATATTTTCAACCTCAACTTTTTAGTCTAAAAAGACAAAAAGTACACTTATTTAGTCTTCCCAAACTTAGCCTAAGTAAACTTTACCCATTACATTATATTGGTCTGTGAGGAAATAAATTAAAACTGAACGTTAAGTTTTTAAAAATTTCAACAACAATAACAAGTAAAATATATATATATATATATAACAGGAATGTAAATATGGAGTTTCATTTACCATTTTACATGCAACTGTCAAACCTCTCTCACCTCACCTCACCTCTGAGATACACCTCAAACGCATGGACTATTAGTCATAGCCCTCCTCCTCTTTCTTTCTCTGTGCACAACTAAGAGAAAGAACTGTCACGATATATTTGTAGGGATGGCAATGGATAACCTACTCTGTGGGTATTTATGGAGATCCAACTTAAATACATGAATTTTTTCTTTTTTTCTTATCCATTGGGTAGGGTAAGTGATATTCTTTAAATATCCATAGGGGATGGGTTGGGGATGAATACCCACTAATTTCCCCATATGATTTTTTTTTTTTTTTTTGATTCACAACCAAAACTAAATATACATTCAATTTTTTTTTCTTTTATTTATTTATTTTTTTTTTCACGTTCACTGTGGACATCCTCATTATTGAAAATTTTCTTGTTCATTTTTCATAAAAAAAGAAAAAAGAAAAAAGTTTGACCGTTGGCATCAACAAAAGTTCCACTAGTCTAGTAGGGCTTTTTTTTTTTTTTTTTTTTTTTAAGGTTCACAACAAAAGCTAAATATACATTCAATCTTATTTTATTTTATTTGGCTCAACAATAAAATCAAATACACATTAATTAACATTGTCACATTATTCTTGTCAAATTTTATGCATATCTAGAATTTTTTAAATTTATTTAAAAAAATTAAGGACACTGTCTAGTGCAGGTTTCGGTTTGCTTTTCTATGTTATTTTATCTTGTTATGTATTGTAATTTTCAGGATGGTTTGCTTGTTCTGAAATTTCAATTAACAAGTATGAATCTATTTATTTTATGTTATCACACAATTTATACAACATATATATATATATATATATATATGAATGTATTTGAAAATAAGGAAATTGTAGAGAATCAAAACAAGCATGAGTTGTGATTGGTTAGAAATGATGGGTACATAGATTTATTTGCTAGAAAAACAAAAAGGGGATACAAAGTCATATTAAATAATTTTTTTTAAATTAAAAGAATTTTTCTTAGTTATGAACAGATTTAACTAAAATCAGCTTGTTTCCTAATGTTATGCTTCATTTATTTAGATGGAAAATATTTTTTAATGAAAAATATTTTTTATAAAAAAAATTAAAAATATATTTTTTTATATTTGGTGGTGGTGGTGATGGAACGAAGGTGAAAGTAGAGATTGTGACATAGTGGTGGGGTGATGCGGCAGTGATGATGGTAGTGGCTATAGTGATGGTAGTGTGACAGTAAAGGTGAGAATAGTGGTGATGGTGTTGTGAAATTAGTAAAAATTTAATTGAAAAAACATTTTTTGTTTTTTAAAAGTAACAAACAACAAAATTCGTGGGGGACTAAAGGAAGAAGATGGAGGATGGATTGGGTGTGGTAATGCATAGATATCTTAAAATGAGTGGTTCAGATTTGTTAAAGGTATAATTAGATTTTGGATAAATTAAAATGAATGGTTCAAATTTGCTAAGAGAAAGATGGTTTAATGTCTAAAATATCCGTGGCTAAGAGATTAACAAACAATTCCTTATTTATGCCCTGATGCAATTTAATATGGGTCTTATAACACTTTCTTAAAACAGGTTCTTTCACATTTTATTTCTTCAAACAAGCTCTTATAACATTGCAATCAGGTTCTTATAACATGTAGGGGAGAGATTGAGAGTGAGAGAGAGAGATGGTTGTAATTTTTTTTTAATCTTCCACGTTCTTCCACATTTTTTTTTCAATTACTAAAACTTATTTGACTGTCTCAAAATTATATATTTGATTATTATAAAACAAACTTTTTAATTAATTAATTAATGTGTATTTGATTTTGTTGTTGAACCAAATAAAATAAAATAAGATTGAATGTATATTTAGCTTTTGTTGTGAACCTTAAAAAAAATAATAAATAAATAAGTTGTTAACATTAAATATATTAAAAAAGAAAGAAAAAAAGATTGAAGGTATATTTAGATAAAACCTTTATAAAAAAAAGAAAAAAAGAAAAAAAGAGAAGGTTGTTAACATTAAATATATTAAAAAAGAAAGAAAAAAGATTGAAGTTATATTTAATTTTTGTTGTGAACCTTAAAAAAAAAAAAATGTTTGTTAACATTAAATATAAAAAATAAAAATAGGGATTAAAGTGGATGGGAGAAAATCCATACCCATTAAGAAATGGGGAGGGTGGTACCCATGGGGAATGGGAAATGGGGAATGGAGAAAATTTATTATAGGGGAATGGGGATGGGGAATTAATATCCACCCCATTACCCCCCATTGCCATCCCTATATGTTTGATTGAGTGATTTAGACAAAAATTTAGAAGGAGAAATGAAAAATAAAAAAAAATTGTAAATAAAATATATTTATATTTTATATAATTTTATACATATTTTTTATTTTATTTTTTAATTTCTTTTAAAATTTTTCAACCAAACACAACATTAAAATATGGGTGAACCCAACTCCACCCCACCGCATCTCATATCTATTTCTGTCACTTGCTCTCACTCTCTTATCCTTATTAAACTCTCCCACATTCTTATTCAAACTCACAAATAAAACCTTCACTCATGACTCTACTCGATTCACAATATAATTAAAAAATTAATAATAATATTAAAATTTAATAATTAAATCTAAAAATGTTATTTATAATTAAAAATTATGTATATATATATATATATAACATAATATAAACAAAATAATACATTGTATAGATTATATGTATATATATTATAACAATATATTAAAAACATATTACATGTATATGTAATATTACTATTTATTTATTACTATATTGGCAGATCGAGTAGAGTACGGGTAAAAAAAATACTCTTCTCTGTCCCCGATCGAAACCTAATCAATTTTTTTTTAAAGTTTTTTCAAAACCGACCCTCAAGGAGAGTGGGGGATCTAGTAGATCGGGATATTTTGTCATCTCTATGCATAACACATATCACATACTGTAAACACTTCATTTTGAACGGCTTTAAAACTTGGGCGTTTTCTTATAAGGATCCAGTAATGAAAATTACAATGTGTTGTTTTAACAAATTACTCAGCAAAAAAGTCAGATTCTAATTTTAATTTCAACCTTCACTTGTTTTTGGCCAAATTGTCACAACCCACCACGGTGCCCAGGGCTGGATTCGCAGTGAGTTAATTTCTAAAATTTCCAAGATTAATTTTACGTAATTAAATTAAATAACGAAGCAGAATAATATAAAAGATATAGATAAATATCTGAAGTGTACATGAGAATTATTATAACTTAAGTCAGATAATAATTACAAGTAAATAAAAAATTAAAAAAAAAACATGATGTTCTTATCAATTCCGAGTCCTAATCAATGGGGTGAAACCATCATTTTTTAAGTTTCTTCACTTGAAAGGGGTTTTAACAATTATAAGCATATGGTAGAGTGATGAATATTATATTAAGAGCATAAAGGTATACAAAGCACTATTGATAATTATTTAGGCTAAACAGAGAATAGTTTGGTTATTTTAAATAATAGACATATAATACAAAAATCATATATGCAAAATAATTATAACCACGCTATAGAACAAAACAGATGGTCAATAGATCCATAACAGACAGAGGGTCATAAAGTGACTAATCAGAGGGTCAATGATTATTTAAGTCTCCTAAGGTATGAGACTGTCAAAGGGCACTAAGTGACAATTTAGAGGGTCAATTTAAGTCCCCAAAGGTATGGGACCTTGTAGACACCCCATTTTTCACCGCCCTTAAGACTTGGGCACTACTTATGGTTTACTTGGTGGAGAAAGGTGTGCAAGGCAAAGGTTCAGTTTTTTCGACAAGGAGAGAGTCAAATCTCAACTTCACACCCCTTTTGGACCGAAACAATCTTGATCAAAAAATTTTGGACCTTGAAACCCTCTCTTTCAAAATGTTTTGAAAATAAAGTTCCTACGATGTTCCGACGCTCGCATTTCGTTAAATGTTGCACTTTTCAGTAAACCAAGCAAGGACAAAGTGGAAATGAATGAAAGAGAGATGAGATCTTTGAAAAATCTTTCAAAACACCTTACTTAGGGCTTGGAGTTGAAGAAAAGAAGAGAAGGGGGAAGAAACCCAGTTGGGGGAGAAAATGGGCATGAACCGTTAAGAGAGGGACGAGCAGTCCTCGCTGAATCAGGCCTATTCATTTGCATACTTGGATTTCAGCTATGAGGCCACCACCATTGGAAAGCTTACTTACGGGGCTTCATTTTGCACTCAAGAATCTCCTAAAGCCAAGTCCGGACGGGAGAGATATGGTTGATTGAAGTAGGGTATCACTCCGGTTGGACCGAATCTGCGCGGCTTCACCAAAATAGGTATAACTTTTTGCACAGGAGGAATTTTGATGCAAGGCTTGTCATGACCCAAACCCGCCCCGAGAAGGTTGGCATCGTAACTGGCCAGTAATCCTAGATTACCACAGGCCTTTCTGTACAAAACATACATAATCGGGGCTTTGCGGAAACAAAAACAAAACACTAATAGTCCAAAGAGCTGTGCATTTATATGAACATACATTACATGCCAAAAATGTTAATTTACCCACTACATTACATGTACAAAACATAGGCTCACGCCACATGTACAACCAAAACTAAGCTTCCTAACGGCCTACTAGGCCTAGCCCCAACTCGGAGGCACCAAAACACCGGGTAGGCTTCAAAACGGTGGCTCGGCTCGAACTCCGCCAGAGTGCTCACCTATAAATACATATATACAAACAATGAGCTAAAGCTCAGCAAGTAACATTAAAGTAAAGGGGTAGTGAACAAATTCCACATTTCATATATCCATAAAATAAATCCTTCATAAACATAATCATCTCATATCAGAACATACATAATGGCATACTCCATAGAACATAACATTTGTCGTCCAACGACTAGAGTAACCGGTCCCGGACACCGATTAAACACATACCGAGATCTCGTAAACTGGTCCACTTAGGACTATCTATGGATGCCATACTAGATTCGCAAACTGGACATTCGTTCACAGAAAACATTTATCATTTCAAAACCATAGCATAACGTAGCACTTTTAAACATAGATCATACTAACATATCTTTACAGAAATGTTACTCACAGTGGGTTTCCAAAACCGGTTGCACGGTCTTCGCCTCCTGACCTGCAATTATCAACATATAACACATTTCTTCAATACACATTATCATTAACTCACTTAATTCATGCCTTTCTATCCTTTCTTTACTCTATTTCATGATTATGAGATGCTAAATGATGCAAATGACATGTGAAAATCATGTAATTCAACTTCTCAAACTTTCTTGAAATAAGTCCCCCGCTCGAGCGCCACTTTGTCCGCTCGAGCGGACTGCAAAAATCCAAAACTGCTGGGAGGCCGATTTTCACGCTCGAGCGGGAATCTCTCCGCTCGAGCGGACCACGCGAAAATCTGAAATTCTGGACTCTTCTCAAGCTTCAATTTCTCCTTGCCAAAACAACTTCAAAGTGATGAAACCCAAGTCTCAAAACACTTGAAACGCAACTTGAATTAAACATTATAGCTTCTAAACAAACCCAAATGCATCATATACAAGATCAAACCATGAATTGAGGTGAAGAATCATAACTATTCATGTAAAAGCTTCATTTCTTCATATCCATGGAGGTTCTTCCTCAAGAATGCCAAATATAAACATAAATCATCAATTTATGTCATACATGCTCAAATTAAACATATTTCTTCTTCAATCCACTTATTTACCATGAGGTCATGCATGAATCAACCTTATTTCAAGAAATTAGAGAGGAATTCTTACCTTGATTGTTTAAATAAAGAAGATAACTTGATTTTCCCTTTCTTTACTCTTCTTCCTCCCTTGGTTCTCCCCTCCATGAATTCTTCTTCTCTCTCTCTCTCTCTCTCTCTCTCTCTCCTTCTAGATTTTTCTTTTATTATTTTTGAGTCAATGAGTCAACAAAGGCCCTTATACTTATCTATATATCATTTATAAACAATTGTGCCAAACTTTGAGCCAAACATGGCCTAACGAATCAGACGAAATTCAGTCTTCAATTTATCGCCCCAAATGGTTCTAAAAATTCCAGGTATCTCATAGACGCGTTCAATTTCGTTTTCTGAGCCCATTACGGTCATCAATTTCAGTCCCAAAGTTCTCATCTCAACAGATATTCTTCTAATTCAAACAGATATTCTTCAATTAATTCGCATAAACACATAATTAATTACTGATAAATATGACACATGTTTTGGGGTCATTACACTCTCCCCACCTTAAGAAGTTTGGTCCTCCAAACTTTACTTATCTTGGTGCAATCTCAGTCAGAAGCAACTCGACGGTTCTATTCAGTTATTCAGCATGATAAGGTAGTTTGTATGTCCCGTCCATAACAATGAAGGCAGTATCGTAGCAGTCAAACACATAATGAACATGTTTTACATATACTGAAGTCAGCTAACAAGTTCCATAGCGTTCAATTCAGAGGTAGTAACGTCGATATAACAATCCATAGCAAAGGGAATAGCAAAGGTAAATTTGTTTCATCACAGTCATAGTCAATTTATTTCATGTCGTTCACTTTCAATTAATTTAACATAATTTGCGTATGATGTGTTCCGTCACAGTCACATGTTCAATATTTTCCCATCGTAGAAGTAACATAGCCATCGCATAGGAAACAGTGCTAACATCACAGTAGATAATAAAAATCATACCTGTATTCGCTTTTCCAGTAGTCTGTGTCTTTTCTGAAACTAGGGTGAAAACCCTTCCTTGCCTCAATGTATTCCCCACATTATAGCTTCTAAACAAACCCAAATGCATCATGTACAAGATCAAACCATGAATTAAGGTGAAGAATCATAGCTATTCATGTAAAAGCTTCATTTCTTACATCCATGGAGGTTCTCCCTCAAATATGACAAACATAACCATAAATCATCAATTTATGCCATACATGCTCAAATTAAACATATTTCTTCTTCAATCCACTTATTTACCATGAGGTCATGCATGAATCAACCTTATTTCAAGAAATTAGAGAGGAATGCTTACCTTAATCACTTAATTGTAGAAGATTTAGCTTGATCCTCTTTTTCCTCCTCTTCTTTCCCTTTCTCACGAATTCTTTCTCTCTCTCTCATTTCCAGATTTTTCTTCTCTTTTGTTTTTGAGTCAAACATAGGTCAACATCCTTATCTATATATATATATATAATTGTGCCATAATCTTAAGCCAAACAAGACTTAACGAATCAGACGAAATTCAGTCCTCAATTTATTTTCTCAAATGGTTCTAAAAATTCCCGATATCACATAGACGTGCTCAATTTCGTTTTCTAAACCCATTACGGTCATCAATTTCAGCCCCAAAGTTCTCATCTCAACAGATATTCTTCTAATTCAAACAGATATTCTTCAATTAATTCACATAAACACATAATTAATTACTGATATATATGACACATGTTTTGGGGTCATTACACTCTCCCCACCTTAAGAAGTTTGGTCCTCCAAACTTTGCTTATCCAGGCACAAGCTTAGTCAGAAACAACTCCACGGTTCTATTCAGTTATTCAGCATGATAAGGTAGTTCGTATGGCCATTCCATAACAATGAAGGCAGTGTCAGAGCAGTCAAACACATAATGAACATATTTTACATATACTGAAGTCAGCTAACAAGTTCCATAGCGTTCAATTCAGAGGTAGTAACGTCGATACAACAATCCATAGCAAAGGGAATAGCAAAGGTAGATTTGTTTCATCACAGTCATAGTCAATTTATTTCATGTCGTTCACTTTCAATTGATGTAACATAATTTACGTATGATTTGTTCCGTCATGTGGGCAAGCTTTAGCTATATGTCCTTTTTGGCCACATTTGAAACAGACTCCAGTTCCGCGGCGACAAATACCCCAATGTTGCTTCCCACATTCCGTACAAGTAGGTCTACTTACACTGTCACCACTTTCCCTTTTTGTGTTGTCACTAAAACTTGAGTTCAAATTTTCATTCACGGAGGCCACTGATTCACTAGCTGTTTCTACTTTCTGTTTCTTGAATTTCTTACTTTCTGCTTCGGTCATTGCTGTTGGCTTGCACATTTTCAAGTTAGCAATATTTGTTTTAGCCATCAAGGCTCTGTCAAGTACGTCAACATATTTTTCTAATTTCAACACATTCACCCTGTCAAGTACCTCAACATGTAAGCCACCTTCAAATTTCCTTGCCTTCTTGTAATCTGTATCAACCATATGAGGAGCATAACGGGCTAATTCAGTAAATTTACTCTCATATTCCGTTACTGACATAGTGTCTTGCTTCAACTGTTCAAATTCAGATATCTTCCTATCTTGCATACATTGTGGAAAATATTTTTCATAAAACGTCTCTTTGAATCGATCCCATGTTAAGTCCCTATTCTCACCTCGTACGAGCATCCACCATCTTCGAGCTTCTTCTGTCAGAGTAAATGTTGCTAACAAAACTTTATAGACATCTGTACACGGAAACACTTCAAAAATCTTTTCAGTTTCTAATACCCATGCCTTCGCTTTTAATGGTTCAATTCCCCCTGCAAATTCTGGTGGTTTCAGTTTCTTGTATTTCTGTGTCAAAGGTGATAACATCATCATTATTAATCGGTTCCATTTGCACAGGTGGTGGTAGAGGAGGCAGAAATGGTTGTCTCTGTTGTTGTCGGTTTTGCTCTTGCTGTTGTCTCACCAACCTAGTTAAAGCTTCCACCATTCTTTCTAACCGATCTATTCTAGCATTAGAAGATTCTGACTCATCTACATTCCTTGCATTAGTGTTCTCCATTGGTCTCTAGTACCCATAGCAGATAGAATATTTCATTCTCAACATAATAGTTCCTCTGTTGTCTCATCATTTATAGTTCTTGTCTCTTTATATATTCAAAAACACACGCACACATGCACATATGTTTATGCCATGCCCTATTTCTTTTCTAGGACACCCTACAGCTCATATGGACACGTGTGTGAGTAAATTAACTCGTGCGCTCTGATATCATTTTATTACGACCCAAACCCGCCCCGAGAAGGTTGGCATCGTAACCGGCCAGTAATCCTAGATTACCACAGGCCTTTCTGTACAAAACATACATAACCGGGGCTTGCGGAAGCGAAAACAAAACACTAATAGTCCAAAGAGCTGTGCATTTATATGAACATACATTACATGCCAAAAATGTTAATTTACCCACTACATTACATCACATATATAATCAAAACTCATGTACAAAACATAGGCTCACGCCACATGTACAACCAAAACTAAGCTTCCTAACGGCCTACTAGGCCTAGCCCCAACTCGGAGGCACCAAAACACCGGGTAGGCTTCAAAACGGCGGTTCGGCTCGAACTCCGCCAGAGTGCTCACCTATAAATACATATATACAAACAATGAGCTAGAGCTCAGCAAGTAACATTAAAGTAAAGGGGTAGTGAACGAATTCCACATTTCATATATCCATAAAATAAATCCTTCATAAACATAATCATCTCATATCAGAACATACATAATGGCATACTCCATAGAACATAACATTTGTCGTCCAACGACTAGAGTAACCGGTCCCGGACACCGATTAAACACATACCGAGATCTCGTAACTGGTCATGGGCCTGCATTTTCATGCCGTCCCCCATGACTTCAAACTATCCATGGATGCCATACTAGATTCGCAAACTAGACATTCGTTCACAGAAAACATTTATCATTTCAAAACCATAGCATAACGTAGCACTTTTAAACATAGATCATACTAACATATCTTTACAGAAATATTACTCACAGTGGGTTTCCAAAACCGGTTGCACGGTCTTCGCCTCCTGACCTGCAATTATCAACATATAACACATTTCTTCAATACACATTATCATTAACTCACTTAATTCATGCCATTCTATCCTTTCTTTACTCTATTTCATGATTATGAGATGCTAAATGATGCAAATGACATGTGAAAATCATGTAATTCAACTTCTCAAACTTTCCTGAAATAGCCTTCCCGCTCGAGCGCCACTTTGTCCGCTCGAGCGGACTGCACAAATCCAAAACTGCTGGGAGGCCGATTTTCACGCTCGAGCGGGAATCCCTCCGCTCGAGCGGACCATGCAAAAATCCGAAATTCTGGTTCTTCTTCCAAGCTTGAATCTCCTCTTTACAAAATCACTTTCCACATTTATGAAATCCAAGTCTCAAAACACTTGAAACACAACTTGAATTACACATTATAGCTTCTAAACAAACCCAAATGCATCATATACAAGATCAAACCATGAATTGAGGTGAAGAATCATAACTATTCATGTAAAAGCTTTATTTCTTCATATCCATGGAGGTTCTTCCTCAAGAATGCCAAATATAAACATAAATCATCAATTTATGCCATACATGCTCAAATTAAACATATTTCTTCTTCAATCCACTTATTTACCATGAGGTCATGCATGAATCAACCTTATTTCAAGAAATTAGAGAGGAATTCTTACCTTGATTGTTTAAATGAAGAAGATAGCTTGATTTTCCCTTTCTTTACTCTTCTTCCTCCCTTGGTTCTCCCCTCCACGAATTCTTCTCTCTCTCTCTCTCCTTCTAGATTTTTCTTTTATTATTTTTGAGTCAATGAGTCAACAAAGGCCCTTATACTTATCTATATATCATTTATAAACAATTGTGCCAAACTTTGAGCCAAACATGGCCTAACGAATCAGACGAAATTCAGTCTTCAATTTATCGCCCCAAATGGTTCTAAAAATTCCCGGTATCTCATAGACGCGTTCAATTTCGTTTTCTGAGCCCATTACGGTCATCAATTTCAGTCCCAAAGTTCCCATCTCAACAGATATTCTTCTAATTCAAACAGATATTCTTCAATTAATTCGCATAAACACATAATTAATTACTGATAAATATGACACATGTTTTGGGGTCATTACAAGGCTGGTGCCATTGGAAAGCTAACTTCTGGGGCTTCAATTTGGACACCTGGCCGACCACCTTTCTTTCTGGCAAACCATTTTTTTGTCCTGAAAAACTAAAAAAAGTAGCAGGTCGACCAGAAAAGGTGGTTGGCCGACCACCTGAACCTTTTGACCTGGTCGGCTGACCAGGGAAAGTGGTCGGCCGACCACCTGAACTGATCGGCCAGCTTTCTCCTTTTTTGTCTCAATGAGTTGAAGCCAGCTGTGCCAACTGGAAGCCTCAGAATGCATCCTCCATAGTATGGAGGATGCTTAAGCTAGCTTTTAAGCTTCTTGGAGAAGTTTTAGACCTTCTCCTCTATAAAGGAAAGGGCCCTCTTCCATTACTGGGGTTCAGAACCTGTTTTGAGCATACATACACTTTCCCTCCATATCTCTATATTCCAAGCTCCAAAAACCCTTGTTCTTGGTCCCATTGCACTACACCTCCAAGCACAACACCTCCATTATCAACCTAAGCACCTAGGAGCTCAGTTTCAGAGGTTGGAGAGTTCATATTTTGATCCAGAAGCTGCTGGCCTTCTGCTCTACAAGGGTAAGACACTAGTTCCCTCTTTTGGCCCTTATTTCACTTCATTGTTTAGCCTTCCTTGCAAGCATTTTTGGGTTTTGTCATAAACTTAAAAAAGTTTTTTTTTGATCTTATAAACATGTTTGTTTAAGGTCATTTTTCTGTTGGGGGTCATCTACCCCCTTGCATGCTTCATTTTCTCTTGTTTTGAGCTATGCATTAGAGCATTTGTGTTGGCCTTGGTTTGGCCTTTTAGCCATTGAAATCCAGCGGATTCTCAGTGGCTAACATGTGTTTTTGAGCCTTAAAATCAGAGAGGGGTGACCCTCTCACCCCTTGATTTGTTTACTAGCTTTGTTGGCCTTCCAAAGGGGCTCCTACTTGCATGCTTCAAAGTCACATTTCAGGCCCTATTTGGTGAGTTTTAAGGTCTGCCTCAACTCTTTCTAGAGCCCTTTTGGCCATATTTTGTGTCCCTTATGCATGTGTAGAGCAATTCTCCTCAAGGCCTTTCAAAGGGACCTTTCATTGCATGCTTCATTGACCCATTTCAGGCCCTTTTCAGTGAGTTTTAGGGTTGTCATAACCTTTTTCCAAAGGTAGTTTTTCCACTTTGTATGTCCATCATGTATGTGTAGAGTAATCCACCTCATGGCCTTCCAAAGGAACCCTTCATTTTTGCATGCATTGACTGCATTGCATGCTTCATTGACCCATTTCAAGCCCTTTTCAGTGAGTTTTAGGGCTGTCATAACCTTTTTCCAAAGGTAGTTTTTCCACTTTGTATGTCCATCATGTATGTGTAGAGTAATCCACCTCATGGCCTTCCAAAGGAACCCTTCATTTTTGCATGCATTGACTGAGTTTCAGTGGTTATTTGGATATATTTTGGCATGGCATACTTTTGTTTTTGGCTGGTTCAGTGAGCCCTCATGTGCTTCACATACTTGTAGTGTAAATCATGGTTCACTCGCTTATTTTGCATGCTTTGTTGACCCTTGATTTTAGCTCTTTTTGGCCATGCCTTATACTGATGTTGTGCATATTTTGGACTGCCTTAGCTCTATTTTCAGGTCTCATGGTCGAATGATGTTTGTTTTGCATGCTTGTAGTTCAATACCCATGCTTAACTTTGAGTTTTGAGGCTCATTCCATGCATATACTGAGGTGTGTTCATGTTTTGGGTCCATTATACATCATATTTTAGATCTTTTTTGAATGTCATATTGTCATGTTTTATACTCTTTAAATACGTTTGAGAGTCGGGCTTGTATGCCTCATTTACCGACCATTGAATGAGCTCCATTTCGTTGCATTCCGAGCCATCATTTTAGGCCATTTCCCCACAGTTTCAGACCTGCCTAGGGTCTGTTTGGGGTTGGTTTTGCGATTAGTGCATTGCTTTGGGTACCTCTAGTGTAACGCACTTCACTAATTTCGGTACCCGGGCCCCCTAGCTTGCATTGTGTGCCATGTTTGCATGTTTCGGGACCATTTTGTATCATGTTTCAGAGCTGGAATTTGTGTATTTGTATGCCATGTTACATCCTTTTCCATGCTTTGGTAGAGTGGTATTTGATGCCTTAGGATCGATCCCTTGCATCGTGCATGCTTGTATGTGTTTCGGTTGTCTCATTTCCATCATATGGCCACTGATGTGAGTATGGGTGAGGTCCACTCATATTGGTGCAAGTCCATCTTGCATTCGTATATGCCATTTAGTTCATGTGCGCATGATAGTCTTCGTAAGAGCATTGTGTATGCCATGTTATGTGCGTGCATTGTATATGCTATGTTACAATGTATTGTGCATGTTATGTTGTTTTAGGCATTGTGTATGCCATCTCATTTCCTTGCATTGCGTATGCTAGGTTGTTAGTTGCATTGCGTATGCCATATGGTTCATAGCATTGTGTATGCTAGTAGCATGTTCGCATCTCATCCTTGCATGTTTGCACGATTAGGTCGCATTGTATTAGGATTGCATACTAGTTGCATTTGTGCATGTCATGCCATCCTTATTTGTTGCATTGTGTTTGGAGTAGGGTTTAGTCCAAACACGAGAAACGAGGGACGTTTCGTACTCCAAGTGACGACACGTGCCTCGATTCTCGATCGCCGACACTCTTGACTATCCATGATAGAGTTGCTGGCTTTACATGCTTATATGTGCATTCACGTCCCATTGAGTCGTGCAATTCGAATTCTCGGCCATCATGCATCGAGATGCGTGATTGGTGGCATGAGGATCGAGGATTACATCCCCTTAAGCTTGTGCAAAGGCGGGGAGAGTGATCTTG